AGGAACACAACCTAGCATAAAATAGGCCAAAGACACGATAATTCAAGCTGAAAAAATCAAGAAACAAAGGGGAAAACATGTGCAAATACCGAGTCATCAAATCCCCCCACACTTAACCGTTTGCTTGTCCCCAAGCAAACCTAACTCAAACCAATGCAACTCTCCAGACCTCTATATAAAAAAAACAACCCCGATCGTCGGTAGAGGATTTTCTAGATCATATAGCAGCTTACGAGGTCAACTGGTCTTCTAAGACGTTCCCTATCTCTCTCAATGCGAGTACTAGACTCAAGCCAGGATCATGAGAAGAAGTAGAAGTAAGACAGTCGGTTCATGGATAAAGGGACTCACACCATTCACAACCAAGGACTCGTTGTACCGGGGTGCTCTTTCACTTCATTTCACCGTTGGAACCCCTTTTTGTACTTTCATTTACATTTCTTTTTCTCTTTTTTTCTTCATTCACTTGGCGGGGGTTCCAACTGCAGTCTTTTGCACGGTCGGCCCTTATTAGTCGAGCAAGAGCAATTTCTGTACATCTAGCGCTCGCCAGAGTACTTCCTTTAAATCCTTTTCCTCAACTCGTGTGGAGGGTCAATGAAATCAAGGGGGGTCGGAAGCTCTATCCGTGCCCTTAAAAACACATCCTCAAGTAGGCAAACCGTTCAACGGGTGAAAATTTTACTTGTACTAGAGACAGCTTAGCTTCACCTTGTAGGAGTACCCCACTAAGGATCACTAAAATCTCTTCCAAAACCCGATTTTGTGCAATGAGCGGTGCCACACACGTTGGGCTTACCCCATGTTTAAGATTTCAATGATTTCGACATGGAGGACCAACTGCTTCCCATTTTCCATATGAGCACCCTGTTCGATACACGAGTCCAAAACACAATCCACATAGAGTCACCATTACCACATGAATTCAACGGTCCTAGCTCCACTAATTCACAAAATCAACTGGCACAGCAAAGAGCTAGATAGGAAAAATCTTATACTTCAACATCCTCCATAGTGCTACACTACCTCCCTAGGTTGCACATTACTATAGAGACTGTCGATTCAAAGCATACTGAGCCAGGCAATTTGCAAGGAAACACGTACTTGGAGCCCTCAAATCGAAATTTGGACAGTGTACTAGGCTCCAAGCACACAAACAGCCAAACATTCACCCACATACATAATCGAAAACCCCCCACACTTAAGCACGACATTGTCCTCAATGGAGGAAAGATAAGGAGGGTAGAACGAAGTTACCAGATCAAGGGTGAATGATGATGTACGGGTCAGGCGGTGCATTCCAGGAAGTGAGAGTAATCAGAACACAAACACCACACAAAATCTCAAAAAGGTTGAGTTATTGACTCTAAAATCAAATAACAAAACTGACTCAACCGAGGATAAATAGAGAAAGAAATGCAAACCGACTAGTTGGGTTGCCTCCCAACAAGCGCTTCTTTCACGTCGTGAGCCGGACGATGGCTCCTAAGTTTCGGTCCATGCTAGAACCTCCTTGAAGTTGAGGTTCTCATCTATGAGGTGGAGTCTCAAGTCACAAGCAGGTGGTGTGGCAGGTGATGAAGGCTCGTGCACTTGATGCAGATGAAGTCTCCACCCTCGAGACCTCTTCTTCTGTTCTCTCGTCTCATTGCCCCAAACCAGATAAGACAGCATCGATTGGCCACCATCGCGTCCACCAAGAGGGACCGATGTCGATGTGGCCTTGGTCTGGCAAAGAGACACTGCAAATGGGTCCTTGCCAAGCAGCTCCTCGAAGTTTGGTGGAGATATCACATGTAACTCATGGCCGGTGCAGGCCTCTTCCACCTTAACTCCGTCCTCAGCCTGGACGCCAATTTCTTCTTCAACCTCACTTTATTCTACATGTGGTATCACCCCTGGGAAATGATCAAGAACTCCTCCTGCTTCACTTTCGTCATCCTCCACAACTTCTTTCTGCACCCTTTCTTGCTCTTCTTCTTCTAGCACGGATTGGAGAGCAAGTTGCCAAGCAATTTCTTTCATGAGATCTTCTTGCATCTCCTCACTCATGCCCGCCTCTTCAAAGCTCGGTGTGGGATGCGGGAAGTTGTGGTCGGCTATGATAGGACATTCCTGATCATGATCATCACGAGAGCTCTCCGTGACAGCTTCAGTGTGCTCCACAATGTCCTTGTAGCCTTCTTCTTCCTCCTCCTCTTCTAGTATGGTAACATAAAGGTGATCTAGAGCAGGTTGTGCACAAGATCGCTCAAGATCATCGACGCTCTTTTTAAGGCTCAGGAGGATCTCCTCTGTTTCACGATAGGCCTGGACACAATGATCCATCCTGGAGCATGATCTCTCACAGTCTCGAGCAAACTGCTCCATGAGAAGCCTCAATTCATAGTTTGGATCTGGCTGCGGAGTGTAGCATGGCTCTGCAGAATGGCCCGTGAAGGCCGCCATGGGTAACTCCAGCTCCAATGGCCCCTCTGGTTGTGGGAGAAATTCTTCTCGATAAGGAGGTTGTTCTTGATATGCCCAGGGGTCTGATTGTTCTCCGTAGAAAGGGGGTTGGTACTGGAACCCGACTCCATAGTCTTCTCCTCCTTGGTTACTCCATGGAGTCTCGGGGTAATACCACTCGGATGGTGGTGGATACCCCCAATGATTGGAGAAGCCATGAGGATCCATGATTCAGATCTGCACCAACAAAAACAAAAACACCCAAGTGAAAAGCAAGGGTGGAAAAGAAAAGAAAAACGCTAAAGTAACAAACTTCTGCCTTTCCTAATAATCTAGAAAGTCTCCGGCAACGGCGCCAAAAACTTGACTCGCTAAAACACAACACCTAACAATGGCCAAGTGTAACCAATGAAAGGGACTGCAGTATAGTGGCACAAGTAATAAATATCGAATCCACGGGTCTCTAGAGTTACTATTACTCAGCTTCAGTTCATTATCTAGCAAACTAGATTAAGAATTGATTGATAAACTACTCTACTGACTACTCTACTAATTACAAGTTGGGAACTCACTTAGGTATGATTCCCCCTAGCTCCTCAATTAGGTCCAAGTTGCAATTACCTTTGGTTGATCTACTGTTGATTAAACTGCGGAAGATCCTAAATTAGCTTGGAATCTCTTAATCTGACCAAGCCCTCTCAGACAGAATACCCGGCAGGCGACTAGCCTTCACCGGGATAGACTGCTAAGGCGATTCACACAGATCTCCACTACTGGAATGAATTCCAGTACAAAGCAGTGAATTGATTGACTCTCGCACAACCAATTCACTACTATCAATCAAGGAAGCTCTCTTAACCTAATCAGATTCTATCTATCATAGGTTAAAGCAGAAATCAAGAGAATTTGATCAAGATCCAATTGACTCAATAAATCATGCCTCAATCGATTATAATCAAACAATATAGCATCCAAAACTTCATACAAGAAAGATCCTAACTCATGGAACTAGGGTTCCTCAAAACCTAAGTGAAGGGAAGTTACTCCATAGAGAAGAGAGAGACTGCAGAAATCTGATCTAGATCTTCAATCTCCATCTCCAAGCTTGATTCCCGAGCTCCAATGGCGAAGAAATCCTCCAAAATAGCTCCAAGAATGTTTCCAAGTCGCTCTCTCTCTCTAGGGTTCGTCCCTTGGGTGTTTGGGATCCAAAACCCAGCTCTCCCCCTTTCCTTTTGCTGAAAATCGGGTTTTAAACATCAATTCCCGACTCACACGGCCAGGCCACACGGCCGTGTGGCTTTCCCAGCTGCCCGTGTGAAGGCTCTGTGAATTCCACACGGGCAAAAGTGCCCTTGCACGGCCGTGTGGGTTGTGCCCGTGTGGCTTGCTCAGCCTCTGTTTAATGCTTCGTTTCTCCCTCATCCGGACTCCGAATCAGTCGCCGTTTGATCCCAGACGCTCGTAGTCTTGTCCTCTTTCTTTTCATGACAAGCTTGCATGATTATTTGTCCATAAAGTGAGGTAGAAATCCATTCTTCTTCAGGTCATACCCGAGTTTCTTCTCCCGAATCGTCAATTGATCTCTGATTGACTTGAAACTTGCGCCTATGCTTCACTTTATGTGCTAGGACCTGAAATGTGACAAAGGAACACAACCTAGCATAAAATAGGCCAAAGACAAGATAATTCAAGCTGAAACAATCAAGAAACAAAGGGGAAAACATGTGCAAATACCGAGTCATCAGGGGTCCATTACTGAATCTTATGTTGTTGATGAATGCGTTACATTTTGCTCGCGTTACTTAACTAGAGTCGAAACGATTTTTAATTGGTTAGAGAGAAATGAAGATAAACTTTCATCGTCTTCTCAGCCTCATGATTTATCCGTTTTGCTGGGTGTCGGTCGTGCCAATGGTGTAAAGGATGACATGAGATACTTCGATAATGATTTTGTGGAAGACGGTACCTTCTTATGTTCTACAATCGCAAGCAAGTATGGGTTGAAGAAAATCATCACACATAATAATTGAAAATTCCTGTAGCTTAATCTTTATGTACAAGAGTGAAGGCTTACACCGAGGAAAAACTAGCTCAACTCTATATAAATGCTAGCCATTGCATTATGGTAATAACTTTTTATACACTGTCGAAAAACTTGGCGGGAGGATACTTGGTGAAAGTTTCAGAGCTGCCATCGGTGTTGATTCCTCCTTGGCCACATCTAATGAAAGGGTCTGTTGAAGACTCCGGTCTCATTTTTGCTTTCTCAATAATCAACAACCCATCTTTGGAACTTTTTGTGCTAGTTTCTTCTTCTGCGATGGTAGACAGGGAGAAGGATGAGAAGAGTTTTGATGGCGTGGAATGCGCGGACCCTGGGAACTTCAAAGGCAAGTTGGGCTGCGGAGCGCTGAAATTCAGCATGTCCATAACCATCCTCATAAAAGGACACATCCTAAAACTTGGATGACAGCACCATAAACCAACAACCATCAAACATTCTACTTGCTTCTCCTCCAACTGTCCTCTTAGCTTCCAATCAACCCCGTCTAGAAGCCTTCCTCTACCATAAAACTCCTAACCCCATCTCGCAATATGCACCATTTTGCCTTCTGACTCATCTTCCAGCTCCACGAATGGTCTCTTCCTGTGGCGATTTCCAAAGCCACAACTCCAAACCCATACACGTTAGTCTCCTTGCTAGTCTTCCCCCTCCCGAGGCATATGGGAGCCATGTAACCTCGAGTTCCACCAGGTAACGTCTGAGACACAACATCGTGATCCACCAGCCTTGCCAGGCCAAAATCTCCAAGCTTGGGGTCGAAATGTGCGGCTAACATCACGTTGTTGGCCTTGATATCTCTATGCAACACACATTGATTGCACTCCTCGTGAAGGTAATGCAAAATAGAGGTCAACCCTTGAGCACCTCTGTACCTTTTGTTCCAATCCAAGCACCTCTCTTCATCAAAGATATGATAACCCAAGCTGCGATTCTCCATGTACTCGTAAACGAGCAGGAGTTCGCGATTCTCATGGCACCACCCGATTAGCTGCACCAAGTTCTTATGTCTGAGTTGGCTAATGGTCATGATCTCATTAGCGTAGTCTTGGACCCCCTGAAGCTGCTCCTCTAAGCATCCTTTTGATCGCGACGAACATTTTAAGATCTTCCACATAGCCTCTATAAACAGCTCCAAATCCACCTTCACCGAGCTCCAAGCCTCTCTAGGGATATTTCTTGCTCCATTCATACTTACGAGCTCACTATTCTTGTGGTCTGCTTTGGTTTTGTTCCTCCAAAAGATGAATAATCCCAGCCTGCCCAACAACAAGATTACAAAGCAAGACCCAATTCCAACCGCCACTCCTATCGCAATTCCAGGTGTGTAGTCTTTTCCTCGAACACCTAGAATGCTACCTGGAGGTAGAGCGGGAATTGGCATAGCAACCAGGTTTGAGGTGAAGGACCAATAATGAATTCTATGGAATTTTATGGCTTCTCCCTTTGACGTGGAGAATCCGACGTTTACCAATTCCCTCAAGTAATTTGTAGGTCTAGTTCGTGGCAGATTTGCTGGAGAGAGATGACAATTTTGATGAAGATAAATATTAAATTAAACAACAGAAAAATAACAAAAATTTGGAGGTTCAGCATAACTAAACCTGAAAACAACAAAAGAAAAACCTGTCGAGACAACAGGCAAGAAACACAACAAAAACAGAAAAGAAAAAATGGAAAGAGAAGCAAAGGGCCAAAAACATATCAGCGCCTAGGAAACAACAGACAGAGAGCCACAACTGCTGAAATAAGGAGGACAACAATAGAATGACCTCCCGATCAAATCAAGATGACTGCGAGCAGAATATAGCTATATAAAGCTTTCTTCCAATCAAGAACCACAATCACGCTAATCAACTTTTTCATGCACGACAATCCAGTCAATGACCATATGGACAATCCGACGAGTGATGAAGACATTAGGGGCTACAATATCTTGAAAAATTCTCTGATTTTTTTCAGCCAGATACACCAACAAATGGTATGAAGACTGCAGTAAGTGAACCACCCTGAAGCATTGTTTGGAGTGTCATCAGGCCATCCCCGGATTGTGTCAACAATTCCTTGTGTTGGTTGATGAATGCAACGACATCTTCTATTGTCCGAATTCCAAACAGCTTGGGCAAAATCACAATCAATGAAGAGATAATCGACAGTTGCTTCCTTTTGTTTGCAAAGCTCGCACCGGTTAGCAAGTTCCCAACTGTTCTTCATGCTATCAAGGGTCAAGATCTTCTTGTGGAAGAGGGTCTAGAGAGAAAAGAAAATCTTGGAGGGGATGATTCTTTTCCATACAGCAACATATGGGAAGGATGGGACTCCCAAAAAAGAATCATTAAGGAAGCACTAGAGAAAGAGGCAGAATTGTAAGTGAATCTTGCGTTCAATCGACGTGCATCAAAGATGTTGCCATCCAGAGAGTAGTTTTAACAGAGATGGTGGAGTTGATGTCGATGCCGACGTGTTCCTCGTGCGGGACATCCCATTCATTGGCGAAGGTGTCAAAATCGATTGCGAAAAATGGGCTGGAGGAGGAGTTGAGGGACATGTTCAAGGCGATGCCCATGGCACTGCCGGTGCGACCAATAAGGATCTGGTAGTCGAGGTTGGAGAGGTAGAAGGCAAAGCCGTCACCATGAGAGTCGTTGGTGAAGTTGGCGACAAGCATGGGTCCGCCGGAGGAATTAGACCACAGGGGGAGGGGGCGGGAGCATATGGCGTGGCCGGTGTGCTAGGTGCCATTGTCTGTGAGGAGGATGGACGAGTGGAGGCAGGAAGTGTTGAGAAATGTGAATAGTTTGTAAAAAACTAAAGGAAAGTCCTTGGAAAAGGTAAGTGAAGTTAATTCGGATTAATTCTCCGCATTGAAGGAAACGTTTCTTCAATCAGAATTAATTGACCGAATTAACGGAAAGTTCAATCAATTGGATTGATTTTCCATATTGAAGGAATCTTTCATGATCAGATCAATTGCCCATACTAACGGAAAGTTTTAATCAATCGGATTGATTTCTGGTATTAAAGGAAACTTTTATCAATTGGGTTAATTGTCTGTATTAAAGAAAGGAATAATCAGGAGTTATTACTCTTGATTTCCTTCCTTATGAAGATTCTCAAATCCTCCACCAAGAGGGGAAGGCTAAAGGTCTCATCCAATATAAATATATGAGTTGCCTAACCCTAAAAGATACAACAACGAGCATAAAACATAGGGCAATGTCTATTTTTTACCCAAACCTTTTTCAGATTCTTTTATTTTAACCAAACCTATAGAAATTCTATTTATTATCCAAACGTATTATAATTTATCAATGTCTGGGCATTCATTCTGTTACCGTTACTTATTTCATCCACGTGAGGGGTGAGATTTTGTTTTGTTTTTTGATAATCTTTTTATTAAAAATAGTAAATGATGGTATTCTGACCGCCACGTAGGAAGTCAACTCATTATGGTCATACTTAGTCAGCATTACTAACAGAAAAGTTGACGGAGAGTTAACGTTTGGATAATTTTTAGGAATTCAATAGGTTTGGTTAAAATAAAAGAATCTGAAAAAGGTTTGAGTAAAAAATAGACATTGCCCTAAAACATAATAGAGAGAGTGTTCAGAGAACTCGGGTTTTCGCACAAAACCGCGAGTATTGAGAGGAGTTGTTTTATCCTGGAGACGACCGGTTGATAGTCTGCCGTGCGCATCGAGGGCAGTGCCGCGAACGTCTTAAAGAGAGCGACCTAGTCCGCGACTCAGCTCCAGATTCGGTAACCTCGTTCTTGTTGTTGTTCCGTTCCTAACAATTTTAAGACGTTCGGCTGCTGCTATGTCGACTGAACAGAACAACATGGCCGGATCTGGTGCTGTCGATATCAATCGACCATTTCGCTTCGTTGGGGTTAACTTCCGTTGTTGGAGACAAAAGATGAAGTTCTACCTGACGACCAAGAAGTTGGCACACTGCCTCACCAGCATGCCCGTTGAGCTGCCGGAAGAAGCGACCGATGAGGAGAGGGCTGCTTCTGCTAAGGAAAGGGAGCATGACTTCCTATGCAAGAACTACATCCTCAACAGCCTGGCAGACGATCTCTACGACTACTATGCGGACAGCAAGAACACCGCTATGATGATCTGGGATGCGCTCCAAAAGAAGTACGACACGGAGGAGGCTGGAGCTAAGAAGTATGATGTCAGCCGCTACATGCGCTACCAGATGGTGGATGACAAGTCTGTCGAAGTTCAGTCCCACGAACTTCAGAAAATAGCCCATGAGATCGTCTCTGAAGGTATGCCTCTAGACGATCAATTTCAAGTTGCTTGCATTATTGATAAGCTGCCCCCTTCGTGGAAAGATTTTAAGAATATGCTTAGACATAAAACCAAATAATTTTCACTGGAAAGTTTGATTACTCGCCTAAGGATTGAGGAAGAATCTCGCAAGCAGGATATGAAAGAAGAGGTGATGGTCGTCACTGCTAAACGACCTACCCCTAGAGCTCTTAAACCTAACCAGAAAGAGTTTAAGAGTAAGAACCAGCAGGTCCGCCCCCACCAGAATGGTGCCTCTCGAGGTAACCAAAGGGTCATGGCCCAAACCTCTAAGAATGACCCACCGTTTATCTGCTATAACTGCGGAAAACCGGGTCATATGGCAAAAAAGTGCAGGAACAAGCAAAACCCCGCCGTTGCGGCCAGGGTTAACTTGACAGAAGAGGATTTGATAGCCATGATCACAGATATGATCGCTGAAGTTAACCTCACCGGTGACTCAGAAGGATGGTGGCTGGACACAGGTGCATCGAAGCATGTTTGCAACAATCGTGCTATGTTTAAAACATACACAGAAGCACCTGCTGACAAGAAAGTGTTGTTGGGGACTACTCACACCACTATGGTTGCTGGTTCTGGTGAAGTGGAGCTGAACTTCACCTCTGGGAAGAAGATGGTGCTCAAGGATGTGTTGCACGCTCCAGAGATAAGGAAGAATCTTGTTTCGGGATATCTTCTTAATAAGGCTGGGTTTAATCAATCCATTGGGGCAGACTTGTATACCCTTACTAAGAATGGGAGTTTTGTGGGAAAGGGATATGCATGTAATGGGATGTTCAAGTTGAATGTCGAAATTAATAAGATGAATTCTTCAGTTTACATGGTGTGTGATTTGAATGTATGGCATGCTCATCTTTGTCATGTGAACACACGAATTGTGAAGAATTTAAGCAAGCTAGGACATATCCCTAAACTCTCAATGAATGAATTTGATAAATGTGATTTCTGTAGCCAAGCTAAAATAATGAAAACGCCCCATAAATCTATGAGTAGAGAATCAGAACCCTTAGATCTGATTCATTCTGATATTTGTGAACTAGATGGGACGTTAACTACGTCTGGCAAGAGATACTTTATCACTTTCATAGATGATTGCTCTGATTATTGCTTTGTTTATTTGATGAAAAACAAAAGTGAAGCCCTTGACATGTTCAAGGTATTTGTGGTTGAATTCGAAAATCAGTGCAATCGAAAGGTAAAAAGACTTAGGAGCGATAGAGGATCAGAGTATGACTCTAATCCCTTCAAGGAATTCTATAGCTCACATGGTATCATTCATGAAACCACGGCACCATATTCACCAGAAATGAATGGTAAAGCTGAGCGGAAAAATAGGACGTTTACATAATTAGTTGTGGCTATTATGCTCAATTCTGGAGCTGCTTCTTCTTGGTGGGGTGATATTTTGTTGACGGTTTGCTATGTGCTAAATCGTCTACCAAAAACAAATAGAAAAGAATCACCCTATGAGATCTTGAAGAATAAGCCACCTAATCTGTCCTATTTAAGAACGTGGGGCTGTTTGGCCTACGTAAGAATTCCGGATCCTAAGAGGGTTAAGTTGGCTAGTCGAGCATATAAATGTGTCTTCGTTGGCTATGCGGCCAATAGTAAGGCATATAGATTCTATGATTTGAATGCTCGTACTATAATAGAATCCATTGATGCTGATTTTTTTGAGACACGATTTCCATTTAAAACGAGAAATAGTGGGGGTAATGTACTACCCGCTATTAGAGATAACGGAACAAGTGGGGGTGTTGGATCTGAGGATGAACTCAGAAGAAGTAAAAGAGCTAGAATCTCTAAAGATTTTGGTGATGATTTTACTACAGTATACACCCTTGAGGATCCAAAAAGTTTGCAGGAAGCATTAACTTCCATAGATGCAGACTTTTGGAATGAGGCTGTTATAGATGAAATGGAATCGTTAGAGGCTAATAAGACTTGGCATCTAACAGACTTACCTCCTGGCTGCAAAGTCTTAGGTAATAAATGGGTTCTAAAAACGAAACGAAAACCTGATGGTGCAATCGAAAGGTTCCGAGCTCGCCTAGTAGTCAAGGGCTACAGGCAGAGAGAGAATATAGATTTCTTCGACACCTATTCACCAGTATCTAGAATAACATCCATTCGTGTCATGATTGCTCTTGCTGCCTTGAAAAATCTCGTGGTACACCAAATGGATGTTAAGACTGCTTTCTTGAACGGTGATCTAGATGAAGAAATCTATATGGAACAACCAGAAGGGTTTGTTATCCCTGAACATGCCTCGAAAGTCTGTAAGTTGGACAAATCATTATATGGTTTGAAACAGGCTCCAAAACAGTGGCATGAGAAGTTTGACACTCTCGTTCTCTCACATGGCTTTAAGGTGAATGAAAGTGACAAGTGTATTTACTGCAAGTCAGAGAAGAACACTTGCACTATCATATGTTTGTATGTAGATGACATGTTGATATTTGGTACAAATATTCACGTGGTCAATGAAGCGAAAGTCATGTTAAAAGAGAGTTTTGAGGTGAAAGATCTGGGAGAAGCAAAGTTTATGCTTGGAATCCAGATAACTAGAACAGCAAATGGTTATTCTCTAGATCAATCTGGCTACATAGAGAAGATCTTGAAGAAGTATAACTATTTCGACTGTAAACCTGCGTGTACTCCGTATGATGCTAGTGTAAAGCTATTTAAGAACACTGGAGACAGTGTAAGACAATCAGAATATGCTAGCATCATTGGCAGTCTCCGTTATGCTGCGGATTACACTCGACCAGACATTGCATATGTCGTGGGATTGCTTGGCAGGTTTAACAGCTGTCCTAGTAGAGAGCATTGGAATGCTATAGATAGGGTCATGAGATACCTCAAGAGAACAACAAACCTTGGTATACACTATCAAAGGTTTCCCGCTGTACTAGAAGGGTATAGTGATGCAGATGGGAATACCCTATCAGATGACTCCAAGGCAACCAGCGGATATGTTTTTAACATCGCTGGTGGAGCTGTGTCTTGGAAGTCAAAGAAACAAACAATCCTAGCTCAATCAACTATGGAATCAGAGATGATAGCACTAGCAATGGCTAGTGAAGAAGCAAGTTGGTTGAGAGGATTGTTGTCAGAGATTCCCCTATGGGAAATGCCGGTCCCTCCGGTATTGATACATTGTCAGAGATTACCTAGAGAGAAAGTCCAGAATACCGCCAAGGGTATGGGGCTTATGCCTACCGAACCACGAACTACAAGTGATGGTAACCCGACCCAATAGACTGGAGATCCCAAGAAATGGGTTCAATGGGTAATAACAAGTCATGAGTAGTATGCGAAAAGTTCATGCATAATGAAGCAT